ATTATGTCAAGGCCATAACATTCAACAGTTTCTAACCTTGAGACTTCGAATTCAACTCAAGGTCATCAACCCGAAATAAAAGGTCAACAGCAAGGTCATAACAGTTTAGATAACTCAAAACCTTGCTATAAATTGGAATCCAGATTTTAACGTTTTAGACTGACATGTTTCCATTCACCAGCAAAGCTTTAGTAAGTATAAGTTTATACACCATTTTCTGTATTTTACATTTAAGTCCCGTAGAGGTGATCTGTATTATCAAACTTGTAAATATCATCGGTAATGTGACAAATCTCACATTAATTTTTTTTTGTTTGAACATAATTTTTAAATTATTTTTTTTATTAATTATATGTACATTGTAATTTATACAACTCAACTCCAGGGTTGACAATTCAATTCTTTATATGCTACAAACAATTTAGTAGCTCTAATCTTCGTTGTGACGCGCTGAACAAAAATCTTCCCAATTTAGACATGTCTGTGACATTTTGAACGCTTAACAATTGTATTAGTTTAAAGGCACTAGGTTTTTTAACATAATACTATTTGATATATTGTATTCTGAGATCATGATATACAGGACATTTCAATATAAAATGGAATTCATCTGTTCCTAAGACCAAGGGGCCGAGGAATTTCCCCATCCTGTAATGACAGAATCCCTCGGTTATTTTGATAATCCCTCTAAACTCCCGTTAGTGGAGGAACCCCTGTTCCCCTTTTACTTCTTTGATGTACCCTGCTATTTCAATTCTTACTGACAACCCTGCAACTCGTACATGACAACAAATCGGACAAATGTGTGAGAATTTATTTATTTATTTATTTTATTATTTTTGAATTTTGACAGTTTCTAAAAGATATAATCGGAAACACAATTCATATAAATCGTTAATCATTTATACTCACTAGAAATAATTGCACTATATACATGTACATTTATTGATTTTCAAAAGCTTCTTATTATCAACGAATTTTACTTACAAAACTGAGTACAATGTAGTTTTTCTTGTCTGAAATATGGAGATAATGAACAGTTATCTCTCATGATAAAGTTTGGAGCGGTATTCTCCGTTTACAGTTTTTCTCACGTAATCGTTAACATATGTAATAAAGAAAGTCGTCTGTGCCAAGTCTGCCTGTATACAATTTATAAGCTCGTTTACCGCCGCTAATTCCTCATGAAGAGGTTGGGATGATGGTTCTTCTGGTGTTCCGCAGCGTCTGTTAAGTGCCTCATATTTTGTAGCGTTATTTCTTCTGCAATAAAAACTAAAACTCGTAGAATTATACACTTTTTAAATGCTTTTTTCATATTATAGAATTATATATTTATCTGTATATAAAATCAAATATTAAAATCAAATTAGGTTCTGTTTTTCACTCTACAATGAATCATTTTTAAAAGAAATATCTGTTTAATCATACTAGTCTTTTTACAGGATTTTCTCTAATCTTTATGGATTTTTATTACAGTGGCGTAGCTGCCATTAGACACTTAAGGCACGTGCCTACACTTGAAATTTTCAGAGAGAAAACTAAAACCAAACCTGTAAAAAAAAGAAAAGAAATGACTTCATATAATTTTTGCCATTGATGTAGTCTCATATGTAGATAACCTGTGTATAAATAACCACCAAACTGTGCTACGTAGTAATCTGCAATAGTTAGTAGAGAATTCTAATATACAGTCTTTAGAATTTTTACTTAATTAATAATTAACTAACTTGAATTAACAGCAATTAACCTTTTATGGCTGCCCACCTGAATTTACCTCATCTTTTTGCATGAAATAACTTTTTTTCTAAACACATTTAAATTTGTTCATTGAATATTGATTTTATTTTGTCTCTCTGATTATATTTGAATACTTTTTAAATAAATTTCTTCATGTTCTTAATTTCATTACGCCGAAAAATATGAAAATTCTCCTACTGGGGCCTTGCCCTCTCATCGTAAGTTGAGTCTATACTTCATTAAAGTCCTATTTACGCCTTTGTAATTTAGTTATGAAGTTGTTTTCTTTTTAATTTACAATATCGGTTAAAAAACAATTGTTTACCTAAATGTCTTTAAAATAGATTGTTCCATATCATGCTGGTTTTCTTTTTTCTGTTGGCGCGGGTCTCTTGTCTTTTGGCGTGGGTCTCTCGTTTTTTCTTGAACTGGCACAGAAGTTTCGGCCTTGTTTTTTCTTAATAAAAAAATTTTGATTCAATATTTGCTATATTAGAAGAATTAAATTACTGACTTTGGGAAACGTGTGGAACTTACTTTGATAACCATGAATTCAAGTTTAGCAATAAAATGATATTACAAAAATAAAAAAAAAAAGTATCTAGAACGAGCTATTTGATGAGAACTTTTTTAGTAGCATAAGTAGCAAAGCTGAGAATTTCTACATAATTTACCTGAGTAGAATTAACAAGATCGAGTCTTCTGTTTCACTCAGTCGTCTTTTTTTGGTTCCATTTCTGCCTTCAGACTGGACTTGCATCTTAGGGTTTGTTAAGCCTTTGTTCTGAGTTAAGACTGTGGTCTGGGTAGCAGGGGTAGAAGAGGATGCCACGGTTTGGATCTGAACAGGTGTGACGGTCTGACTTGGGAGAATTTTTTCCTGTTTAATCTGGGTAGTTCCGTCATCCCCAGTTAGTGAAAAGTAAGGATTAATCAGGGAATACTCTGGTTCGAGAATGGGAAGTGCCCAATCGGTTCCTAAGTCAAGCCATTCTTTTTCAGAATCATCAAATGACCTTGATGGGCTAGATGTGCGTTTTTCATTCCTAGATAATAAAAGAAAGGACACTTCAAAATATCTGCTCTAATTTTTGAAGAAAAAAATTTTTGTATAAAATGGGGAAAAAAGATGTATGAACGTAATTTAACTAAAATCACTCAATAAGTAATTAAATTTATGAAATAAATAAATATATGAAATTAATTAATCAGAAATTTTGAAATCAGAGGGAAAAAAACACAACCAAAATCATGTAGTTGCTTGTTCACTATTAACGGCAAAGAAAATTTTAAGGGAAAAAATGTTTTGTCAATTAATTTTAGTGTAAATCTCTAAAGATCAGTCGCAAAGGGAATAGCTACTTGCGTGAGTTTATTAACTATTTCTGAATACTTTGTGAACGAATAAAATTCTCTACTTTCAAGTAATAAGTAACAAACTTAATATATTCACGCACATACACAAACATAAGGTAGTATTTTCACAATCAGGTCTTCTATCTGGTCATTAAAAAAAAAAACAAAGCAAGTACTTACAAAATGTCCAGAAATTTCTCTGCCATGATCACAAAATAAGACGTTCTCAAAACAGATAATTTGGAGTCTTGTAGAATTCTCACGTAGTTTGTATACGCAAAGGATCAAATAGTACCGAGAGACAAAATGTATCATATTTTATACTCATTATAAGTTTACTGGGTGTGGTTTTTTAAAGGGGGTTGTATTTGTGAAATCATTAGCTAACAGAAAACAATTCCTTATAAGGTTATGTTCTATTAAGAGTGAAAAACTTGGTCAATTCTTTACCTCCCATCAGGACCAAAGCGTCCCCTCAATTTTTGCGCTCTTTGACAAAGGCGCGGTTCTCTCAGCGTTCCCAGTATCAAAAACAGACGCAAATTTTATTTGATGAAAGGCACGTGTTTTTCTTAAATTAAGAGAGTCACATTTATTAACGGGGTTGTTTGAGTATTTTTTATGACCTGCTTTAACTTAAAATCGGTGCCCTGATTAACTTTAACACGCAATGCCCATTTTTTAATTTAAAACATATGCTTTAACATAACACTTTTGGTAAGAACTTGGTGACTAATGAAAATTGTGTGATGTGCACAGGATCAGTATTTCAACACTTGTAATAAAATCTCCACGGATCTAAAAAAAAAAAACATATACATGTACGGTTTGTTTGTTTGTCACTGTGGTTAATTGAGAGAGAGAGTTTTAAATTCACATAAGAACTTGATGACAGACAAAAATTGTATGTATCAGGGGTTTTTTTTTGACACATTGTTATAAAAACATGTCAACTCTAAAATGTATACGGGTCAATGTGATTAAAGAGAGATGGGGAGAGAAGGGGGGGGGGGCAAGATTAAGTAAAATTATGTATCAATTTGAGTTTTGTACTATGTGTATTTAATTAAGATGTATTTCATCATTCACAGCATTTAAAAAAAATGTTTATATAGTCAAAACGGTCATTTAAAATTTTGAAGATGCTTGAAATCATATTTATAAAATAGGCAAATGAGTTGAAGCATATTTTTATCATCTGTAAGATTTAATGTAAAGAAGGAACAAACTGAAAAAAAGTCAATTAATCAATCCATATGAAAATGAAAAAAAAAACAGAGATCTATAAATGATCTTTACGTAACACAAGAGTTGCCGCGCAAAATGTCACGAGAATTGAAAAAATCACGCGGCCGGAGTCATTCCATGCGATCGGAAATGTTCAACATGGACGTTTTGAGAACAATTATAATTTTGGCCTTTTTTCACACAGCAATGCTGCATATCATGAATGTGAAAAAATGTTGGCCAAATTCTATGGAAAGCCACAGGGGACCCCCAAGTCATGTTCTATATATTCATAGTAATTCAATCTTGGGCGGTCATGTTTACAATCCCGGCCAAGTCATGATCGGCCACACGGGACTCCCAAGTCATGTTCTATATATTCATAGTAATTCAATCTTGGGCGGTCATGTTCTATATATTCATAGTAATTCGATCTTGGGCGGTTATGTTCTATACATTCATAGTAATTCAATCTTGGGCGGTCATGTTCTATATATTCATAGTAATTCAATCTTGGGCGGTCATGTTTACAATCCCGGCCAAGTCATGATCGGCCACACGGGACTCCCAAGTCATGTTCTATATATTCATAGTAAATCAATCTTGGGCGGTCATGTTCTATATATTCATAGTAATTCAATCTTGGGGGGTCATGTTCTATACATTCATGGTAATTCAATCTTGGGCGGTCATGTTCTATATATTCATAGTAATTCAATCTTGGGCGGTCATGTTCTATATATTCATAGTAATTCAATCTTGGGCGGTCATGTTCTATATATTCATAGTAATTCAATCGGTCATGTTATGATTGCAACTCTGACCAAGTCAGGTTTGGTTTGATAGCATAACATGGCCTTCTTATCTTTGCCGGTCATGATTTGACAACCCTGGCTTAGTCAAGATATATCCCATGTTTTACATCTTGACTAGGCCATGATTTTCTATCCCAAGATTGCATTGGCCAAGATACATTACTTCCAAACGCAGTCAAGATTTACTTCCCAAGATTTTATAGGACCGAGATTCGGCCAAGATAGCATTGCGCCAAGATACATTACTTCCAAACGCAGTCAAGATTCACTTCCCAAGATTTCAAAAGACAAAGACTAATTTCCCAAGATTACAAAAGATCAAGAATCGGCCAAGAATTTTTAGGATGCAGAAGCGCGGCAATAATCATATGCTTGCTTGGCCACGGGTCGAGACCCACATACAGGTAGGGATTTATTTATTTTTTGTTGTATGTCACGAATATATAGCTATTATTTGAAAAATATGGATAAAAATATATCTGTTTAATCAAAGAAAGACCGTATGCATGTCATGTTTTCCTCTTTTTGCCGCTTTCTTTGACATTAGAAACAGAAAAAAATTAATTCTCACAAGATTAATATTTACAGTTTAGATAATGCAGAAACATACATTTATTATACATTTCACTTCATATTTTATGACATATTAGTATTGTGTGTTTAAGTTTAGTATTTAACATGAAAGTATAATAATGATTATTTGTGTAATTCTTCGATATAGAGTTACTCATTTGAAACATGCACAGTTAGATCCACCCATCTATTTCTTTGGTTTGTTAAAAGTGGCATACTTAATAAACCTGGTGACGTTTAAATAGTTGTCAAAATAGGGAGAATTTCTCCATCATGGACCATTTGGTAAGGACTTTGCCCTCTACCTGTTAGGGGTGGGACGATACACAGATCTTACGATACGATACGTATCTCGGTACACATAACACGATACGATACGTATCTCGATATTATGATAAATCATAAAACAATAAAAAAAAAACTTTGTATTTTATTTCCTTTTTGTCTTGATATTAAATCTACAAATTATTCTATACCAAATCATATGTGCTTTGAAATTAATACTTGAAATTCATCAATTTCATTGACTTAAAATTTACAAAAACATTGTTACATGTACAATGTACATATTGCCAAATGTCTATAAACAAGTTGTTTACAAATAGCTGTGTAGTTCATCAAGAACACTATCTAAAAATTCATTTAAAAAACATCACATGTACATTAATATTAATTGATGAAAGTCTGTAACCAAGTTGAGTTTAAGAAAAATCCACAAGTTGTTTCAAAACTTTAAATTCTTGAAATTAGAGAATCCATACATTGTTATGAGCTGTTAGTACTAGATGGACCAATATCAACTGTTGTGGAAACAATACGTTCTGTATATGTATAACACGCTTTCCAAACTGAACTTTTCTTGTCCCATCTTCCGAGGATGCTTAAAATTGAAAATGATTTACCCCTTATCTACACATTATTAGTTCTAAAGCGTGTTTTCAATATCAATATCATGTCTTCGCTTCATACAAGCCGCCATTTTCCAAGGACAACTACTTTCATTTTCAATTTTTTGATAGGTCGTTCGTGTATCGTTTCGTACCGATATTTTAATACCTGTATCGTAAACCGTATCTTAGAAGAAAATATCGGTATGTATCGTTGTATCGGTATATCGTCCCACCCCTACTACCTGTAATAAATTCATTGCTAGTCCTGACTTTAACCCCATTTCATTTTTAACCATTAATTAACAAGACTGTTTTCTGATAAATAAGATAACATGAAGTAAGACTAAATTTTTGTTTTATTTGGCCCAACATTACTTAATGGCTTTATTTAATCATGTTACAAAACTTAAATCTATACAACTCATTTTCATGTTGACAATAATACTAGTAACAGAGATGACAAACAAGTGTTAGATCAGTAATATTGTTTTATTTAGTTACCATGGCTATAGCTTTATGTTACAGCTTTATTTATTTCTTGTGACAAAATGTAGCATTGGGTTCACAGGTACTTGGGTCGTGGTTTATAATATAAATATGTATGAACCCTCATACATATTTATATTATAAACCACGACCCAAGTACCTGTGATTGGGTTAGTTGTATCTGATTTAATGGCGACACATATAGTATATTTTCTATTATAACTATTTTGTAATATACATAATGGCTGTAATTTAACTGATTTGCAGAGTGTCATTCGGTTACATTGGTTACAATTAGGGCTGGGACGATACAGCTTTTTCTATATCGATACGTATCACGATATTTGAGCCACGATACGATATGTATCACGATATGTTGAATTGGTTATAAAATATTTTTTGGAGTGAAATGAATGAAACATTTCCTCACAAATAAGAATAATTTATTCAAAGAAGTTGTGTATCTGTTGTAAAACAAAATCATTTTACCCAAGTGGTATTAATTATGTATTTCATGTTTATATTTAGCCTATTTATTATATATATTTAACCCAAAATGTTAAGTAAACAAAGAAAAACTCAAGTCAGAATTTTCTTTACGATATGTCGATATTTCTTCATACGTATCGATACGCGTATCATCCTCACATTGAATCGATATTATCGATATCTCGATATATCGTCCCAGCCCTAGTTACAATCCTTACCCTAGCCCCAATGAACCAATTAATCTTAATTAACCATATTCCCAACCTAACCCCTTTCCCTAATCTAAAACACTAACTAACCCACATCCTAACTAACAGTAATCCCTAACGTTTATTTCCACCCTAACTAACCTTTATCCCAATCCAAACTTAACCTTTATCCCAAAATCAACTAACCTTTATCCCAATCCCAACTAACCTTAATCTAAATCCCAACCCTTACCCTGACCCCAAATCCTAACTAATTATAAACCCAACCTAACCCTTCTCCCAAATCCCAAACACTAAGCAAAACCATAACTAACCTTAAACTCTAATTAATCCAAACCCAATTTACTCAATTCCCAGCACTGACCTAATTTTAACCCTTAGTACCTATATTTACATGTATTTCTTAACCTAAGTTTCCAGCAACCACTGTAACCTGACTTAAATACATAAGAGTTGATTAACCAATGTGGTTGCAATTGGAAAGGGGTAAAAGTCGGAACTAAATGATATGTTAACTTGACTAATTTTATCAGAATGGCAAAACTTGGGCAGAAAATTGTGAGGGCGTTTGAAAATGAAGAACATTGTGACGTACGTATCACACTAGCTGATGGAACTTTCATGTGTGCACATTCATTAGTGTTGGTCATTGGTTGTCAATACTTTCATACCCGATTAAATGGAAATTGGAACAGTGGAAAAGGGAACCATGAAGTAAATTGCAGTGATTTTTCTGCACGCCTTACACGGTCGATGATTAAGTTTCTTTACCAAAGAGATATTGATCTGTCAATGGAAAATGTACAGGACATTCTACAAATTGCAGATTTCTACATCGTTCCTGATTTAAGAAAGAAGTGTGAAGAGTTTTTGCTCTGTTCAATATCATCTGAAAATGTTTTTTCCATCCTGAATATGGCTTTTACATTTAGCATAGAAAATGTTTTGTCATCTGCATTGTCATTTATTGACAATTATTTAGAAAACATTATGTCTATCAGAGAAAATGCAGACTTGTTTTGTACATTTCATAAAGATCTGTTAATTCTTTTAATCAAAAGAGACTCAATGTGCATTCATGAAGAAAAACTCTTCAAATTTGTTGTTATGTGGATGAAATCTGAAAATAGAGCTGAACCTGTTTGTTGGAATACACTTGTTCCTCACATTAGATTTGGAAGAATGTCTATTGATTTTTTCATAGAAAATATTGTTTACAAAAATGTTGTAGAAAGGGTTTAGAACTCAAAATGAAGCTGAAAATGCAAACATGAGACTCTGACATGTCAATCTAAGGGTTATGGGACTCAAGTGACTGTCAAGGCCTCTTGTTGTTTATATTTTCTGTTGTCTTTGCTTTGTCAGTTGCTACCGGTTTGTCGGTATATCACACAAATATGTGTGGTTTAAATTCAATATCAAAAGTATCAAAAGCTAATGAACCAATCAGATCCATGTTTGAAGCCAAGAAACTAATATCAAGTTTCATTTCAGAACTTTAGTTCAGTACTGCTACATGCAGATTATCAGAGAAGAATTGGAAGAAGTGAAATTTGCCTGGAATAACCACAGAATCAGGAAACAAAAATCAGGTGATATTGTTCCTGGGATACCTGAGCTCCTTTATCATGTTCCTGAAATGTTAGGTCAGTTTACTTGTTTTGATTCTGGAATCATTTACAAATTAAGTGATCAAATTTCGGTTCACATATTTTTTTTTGCTGAAAGTAAAAATAGGTTTGTATTTGAAAGTTCTTTAGATTCAATTTTTTATATGTAACTCTTGTGGACACTGTTAAAGACTACAATGCTGGATCAACAGACTTTTGTACATTTGTTAACTGATTTTTTTTCTCATAGAAAATTGTGTATAAATGAACTTAAAATCAAGAAATTTCATCATAAGTTGCTTACAAGGAACTGTGTTACAAAAAAAGCTTTATACCAGACATTTCCCCATTCCTCTTGTGTTAAAGTAGCATGTACATGTATATATCTATAGTAACAATTAAAGAAAGTTAAAATTTTGGCCCCTGTCAGAGTATCTTTTAGTTAAAAATTTGTTGGAATTAAAAATGCATGAAATTTAAAGTCTCTTTTTAAAAGATCATTTAATATGTTGACATACATGTATATATAATCTCTTAACCCCATCTTTCCAAGTCAAGAGTTTCTGATCTGCTCCTCTCTACATAAACCCTTGATTGAATAGGCAGTTCGTCTCAAATTTATTTGACAATGATTCAACATTGATCAATGCACAATTAACATCATTATTGAAACCACGTTTCTTATTGGATCATGCAAACTTGTACGACACCAACCAGCGTGCGAGGTTTCTAACCCAGCCAAACACTGCCTATTCGGTCAAGGGTTTATGTAGAGCGGAGCGGATCAGAAAGTCTTGACTTTGAAAGATGCTTAACCCACAAGAAAATGACTTGTTTCGCTGTGTAATACTTTTATAAGAGAAAAAAATTGCAATTGTTTACCTATGTCCTATGAAACACATCGTTTAAGAACAACAAGGTCACAAATGATTTAATATATACAAAGTATTTTCCTAATTTTTCCAAAGGAATTTTATATTGAAAACTGAAAAACATGTTTAGTTAATTGTGTATGATGTTTTATTTCATTTTTTATTTCAGGCAATCCACAGTGCCAAAATTATCTTCATTATATCGATGTTAATGATGAGCGGTTTCATTTTCTGAAATCTCAATGCTGCTTTCAAAATGACTTGGATGATGACATTAAGGAAGCTTTTGACATCATCTCAGACTATTACCGTCCTTCAACAATATTAGAAGCCAGAACTATGTATATTGCACTCAAAGATGTATTGGAACACCAAATATATCATTAATTTTTTTGCTTTTTTTTTGGGGGGGGGGGGGGTATTTTATATCCTATTCTTATAATTAATAATATATTCTATAAATTCTGGGTTGTGTATGTTTAATTATGAACATCTGTTTGTACACATCAAGTACATGTGCATTGTACATCATCAGGAAACATATTATATGGGATGGGAATTGTAAAACATGTACAAATGAAAAAAAAAAACAATAAAAAAAATATCAATGCATTGAATTTTAATTTATATTATCCAGTAGTTCTTTTAATGTTCTTTATATTACTTGGGAGTTTAACCAGTGAATGCAAATTTAAAGAGTCCTGCAACTTACTACTATGCCTCCCAGATAACAATTTCACAACTTGTTGACAATGTGACACTACTGAAGAGTGCTTAAAAAGTTATAATGTAAATACTTAAGTAAGGCATTTCTAATGCTCAACCAAAATTTGAACATCGGTCGTCAAGTTGTAAGTGAGATACATAGCACACAATTCTTTGTTATGTAAACAAATCTCGAGTTATGTTTTTGTTTACATTTTGAATTTTCCAGGTTTAGACCTAAAATGAATCCGACAAATGCTAGAAACTACTTGTTTATGTTCAAAACTAATCAGAAGAAAGAAAAATCAGTTTGAAAAAGATCTTTTTTCGCTATTTTGACCAAATGGAAACAAAAACATGACCGGAGCCTTGTTTACATGACAGAAAAATTTGAGATCTGTATCTTGCTCATATCTGTAACTGACGCTCAAAGTTGGTTTATAATTAGAAATGCATTTTAAAGCATTGTCAAAAATGAAAGCAGAAATATCAAATTTGACCATAAGCGAGACCATGCCGCTTGATAGTAATGAAGTTAATGTTTAACTTGACTGAATTTCGAACGAAACTTTTTGGCCAAAAACTCACGTTCTAACCAAGTACAACATGATTACAGTGAAGCACCATGTATAAGTGATTTTGGTTGGTTATTTCAATACATCTACTTAACTTACCAATGCATTAATAAAACTTGCTTTAATGAAGTATGAATTTATAATAAAAAAAAGCTGTATTTGAGTTTTACTGTAAGTCCTTCAACCTAGATTAAGCAATATAATAATATAAATAGATGTTGGATTAACGATATTTGAAGGTGATTAATACTTGAATGAATCAGATTCTGAAACTAGGATTAGTGAACTGATACTCTGTAAAGGTCAAAATTTCAGTATCAAAATAAAAAAAAAGTTCAGGTGTAATGGGATGCCTCCATATTTTGGATATTGTTCTGATCAAAATATACCAGAAGAATCAAGTATAATTTTATGAATCATTCCTTACCCATAATTGTTACCAACGGTATATAACAATCGGTTTGTCTACAAATCTTTCATGTCACGAGTTCCAATACTGCTGGGGCTTTTATAATTTTGACTTTTCCAAAAATATTTTAAAGACTCTTTTTGGTCAAATAGGTACCATTTTAAAATTCTAAAAAGGTGTATTTTGATCGTGTACTTTTATCCACATTAAAGTGGATTTAGTGAAAAATTCCCTTTGGGGCGATGGAGAACAAAAATAATAGTACATTGGTTATATCTGACCTTGATTCATTTTTAATAGTTCCTCTGTCAAGATACCCACTTTTTACATTCAATTTGAGGATAAACAGTTGATCACTGATATAATAATAAGATATAATAAAGAAGAAAATGAATACTGTGTTATTTCTTATGTTTATTAAATTGTACAGGATCATTCCAAACATTAATCCTTTCCAAATCCATGCATTGATAATATTTTCTGTTTTTTTATTCGCTCTATTAATGGTTGATACAAAGCAGCCATATTGCTGTCTATGAAAAAAAATCTCTGCTCATAATGATATCAAATGCTCAATAATGAAAAATGGTACTCTATACAAATGTGATGGGGAAAAGAAAAAAAAAACTGCTACAAATTTATATTCTCTTGTTACATGAGAACATCCCCAAATCCAGTGAAAGTTTCTTCTGTGGCAAAATACTAAAAAAAAAGAGAAGAATAAATTTCCTCATGTAATTTCATTCAAATTTTGTATCAATTCTTTTATGAGACTTAATTTATGTCTGTTCATGCAAAAGCAATTCTTGCTTGTGTTCAACTTTTCATTACAAAATGATAAAGAACCTTACTTTGTGATAGCAATGTATATGCAAGTATAAAATGCATTTTCTTAGTGGGCATTGTCAATTCTTAGTGGGCATTGTCAATTAATGATGGTTTCTGAAATACCTACCCCTTCACGCAGGTATAATATATTTGGCAAGTCCCCCACTTTCACTTTGAAGTTGTTTTTTAGTTCATAAATGTGTGGGCAACTGGGGTTAGGGCAGTTGGTGGGTGTGCGACACTCCAAGTGGAAAACGGGGGGGAGAATTTCAGGATCGATCTCCACGCATATCCAGCTGAAAACGCTCTGAAAAGAATATAAAATAATTACTTAATAATAACTTGCACGACTTGTTGTACTTTGTGTTGATTTGCACTGCATTAATTACTCATTATAATACAATTAACCTTGCAAGTAAGTTAAAAATTTAAATCCAAATCATCAAATCTATTGAGGGCAAACAGGGATTATACCTATAAGATTTATTGAAAGGGCAATTTAAAGCTGAACCCTACTCGTAAATGGGCACCATCACACAGTTATATAAACCATTCAATTAAGTTACACCCAATTGCACACATGAAACTCGACGTGTAGTTTTGATGTGTAGTTTTCCTTTCGTGGTCTTTGGATTTTATGCATTTATTTCTTTTCTATGTACATATTCTATTTCTAAATATTTACACTTTCAACTCTCTTTGTGTGTGATAACATTACATTTTGAAGCCTATAGCCCAATAATTTCATAACAAGAGGCCCATGGGCCTTATAGGTCACCTGAGTATCATGCAACAACTTTCCAACAATTGAATTTGATTCATGTCTTAAACTAGAGGCCATGAAATTTACAATTTTGAAAGAGGCACCATTGCTTATCATAATTATACACTCAGCATGCTAATTTTGGTTACTTAAAACCCAGAGGTAGATCAGAGCAACAAAGAGAAAATGCATTTCCACTTTTAGTGAATTTCATGGCCCCTGGGTCAGGGCTTCTTATGTTAGGGCGGGTCCATAGTTGAGCTCCCCATCCCACAGGAACCACTGACCCTGGGGCCACATCTTTCGAAATTTTGGAAATTTTTAAAAATTTTATTTCATCATGCTGTTGAATAATACCAAAGTGCAAACTTCAAAGCATTAAATTATTTCAGACTATGTTACCCCCCCCCCCCTACCCCAAAGTACCTCTGCCCCAGGGGACAGGAAATTAATCATTTTTGGAAGAAGCAGTTTTTTCATAAATATATACTAAGATCATTGGCATTATACCAAATAACAAAGGAAAAGATTTTCAAAGAATTCAAGCATTTTCACTATATAAACATCAGAGCCCCCCCCCACCCCCTAACACAAGAATCTCTAACCCAGGGACCCTGAAATTCAAAAATCTCAAAGAGGCATTCTTCCTCCTCATAACTATGTACATAGTTTATTGGTTAAATGCTCAGGGGCAGAAAAGAAGAGTTTTAAAGAATTTATGCATTTTCACTATATATTCAATAAAGCCTCACCCTAACGCCAGAATCCCCAACCCAGGGGCCATGAAATTCACAATTTTTGAAGAGGTAGCTTTATTCAACATAATTAAGTACTTATGTAATTATGTGGTTAGTTTATTTAATACTCAGGAGCAAAGAAGAAAACTTTCAAAGAAATAATTCATTTTTTACTATATAATCTATATAGCCCCGCCCTAGCACTAGAACCCCTGACCCTGGGGCCATGAAATTCACAATTTTGGAAAAGGCGGTCATTTTCAACTTACCTTTGCACTTGGTTAGTTTATTTAATGCTCACAAACAGAAAAGAAGAATTTCAAAGAAAGAATGCATTTTCACTATATAACCTGTTTAGCCCCGCCCTAGCACAAGAACCCCTGACCCTGGGGCCATAAATTTCACAATTTTGGTAGAGAACTCAATGCTGATTACGATCATACCAACAGTTTAACTACTTGATGTCCAGGAGTAAAGAAGAAGATTTTTAAAGATTGCACTAATTTTAGTGGTTTTTGACCAACTTCCCAGGCCCCAGGGGGACAGGGACCGTGAAATTCACAATTTTTGTTCCCCTTCACCCATACATGCTATATGCCAAATTTGGTTGAAATTGGTTCAGTGGTTTCAGAGAAGAAGCTAAAAATGTTCAAATGTTAACACACGACGCACGACGACGGACGAAAACAGATAGCAATAGGTCACCTGAGTTTATCCATTTAGCATAACATTTGATAATTTCATCGCGACCAAGTAACACAGCGAGGCAAGTGGTACATCCACACAGGTGAGACCTCTACAGCAAAATACTTAAAACTGTAAGAGGTCTGCGGCTTATATTTGGGCTGTAGAGATAGTGGCGATGAAATAGATATACGGCTGTCAATACCTATTTACGAACAGTGTTACACTTTAATTAATTATATGAACTTATTAAACTCTTCATTATTCACAGGCATTGCTCATCAATGTGTATGAAAGTGAAAATTAAAAACCATATATATTCTCTGGTATTTATTTTGTAAATTAATATAAAACTTTTTCTTCTTACACTGATGATAACAATTTGCGTACCTGTCAAACTTAAAGATTCTATATGTGGATCTTCAGCCCATCATGTTAAAAAGTGTGATGTGTATTAGCTTGAACCCCCTCCATTCTATTTGACATACCTTTACTGTATCATTCAGTTTGAATGGCCTGTTAATTGCAAGACCCCCATGGCTCTCGTACACAACGCAGAGTTGAACCTGGGGCTCATCTTTGGTTGGAAAGTATAGGAATGAACTCTGTGCGAACTTCAAAAAGAAATCTATAGTTTAGTATGAAATAAGTCCAACATAAAACATTTATAATTTCTTCTTTTTTTTTTTGAGGGGGGGGGGGGGATAT